CTATAGTAACGTGAAGTATATAAGCAGTTAAGGTTGAGTTGGTTTGTATTATAATTAACTTGATTATTTACTCTTTTATAATAACTATGTTGGAGGTTTTTATTGGATACCCTATATATTATTATATTCTACACAACAAAAATCTAACAAATATATTTGTCAAAGTTACAGACTGAAATTAGTTGTGAAGTTTCTTAATTACTTTTGGATCCGATAATAAATGCATAGATGCAGAACCTCAAAATTGACAAACTGCTAGAGAATTAGCTAATATGCTAAATCAATTTAAAAAATAATAAAACTAGATTATGTCAACAAGCTAAAAATATTAAAGTTTAGACAACAATTTCTTAACATAAAATCAAGTTAAATAGACACAATTCGAATATTAGACCCATCTACAAACATTTTCAAAACTCCTTAAAATCAGGTAATAATGCTTGTTTGTTAATTTATTATAAAAAATTTGTGCATAAATATTCTTTTTATATATATTATTCTATATGCATAGTTCTTTTATAAAATTTTTGATAAAATTTATTTACCATGTTCAAGTTGGTTTTTATCAAAATTATTATACTTTTTTGAGTTACTGTAAAAAAAAACCACTTTTCAGTAATACAGAGTTTGTAGTTCGCTAACATACGATTTAAAATTTATTTTTCTAATAATATATATTTATTTTCTAACTTTTAAATATTCAGCTATTAGCAAGTATGTATAAACATCATTTAGGTCATGACAATTCTCTAATAACATATTTATACTTTTCTATGCATGTTTTTTAATATTATCCATATTCTAGTAAATAATATCAAAGAGATATAAGCATGTATAATATGAGAAATTTAGAAAATTGAATTATATGATTATTATGCAAGACTGTAAAATATTATCATTATAATTTATACCTGTCATGGTGCTACCTACCACTAATTCAAATCAGCAGGATTATTGAGTTTTGTACAATGTATAAACTTTTTATGGGAACATATTTGGTGTATTTATATATTTACATTTAAGAACGAGTAAATTTGTATGTTTTTCTTTTAGTTAGGAGTGAAAATAAGTAATCTTTGAATTTTATTTTGTTTTTAGCTTTTTTAAGTGAAAAAAAAGCTAAGCTTTCTCACTAAATTTTGATTCCTTCATATACATATTTTTAACTCATAACTTAATTGCATTATAATTTATCTTCCGATATTAAACATATACCTTAATTATATAATGATTCGGTCATATGAGATTTGACTCTAAATTAATTACATAAGTCTTATGTGCTTAATTGATTCTTGATTGATTTACGTAATTGTCTCGAATAATCAAGTGTCTGTAACTTGATTAGTAACTTACATGTCCATGAATTCATTCACCTTTCTTTCTTTTTTTTTTTTTCTTTTTTATTTTTTATTTTATTTTTATTTTTTATTTTTTTATTTTTTATTCAAATCTGCTTTTATTAATAAATTATGATCTTATTACGATATTAATTATGCAGCTAATCAAAATGTTATAATATAGCTACAGATTTGATGATTAAAAGATAATTATTCGAACTACAATTTTTAATATAAAAAACTGCACATTCAGGTACATAAGGTAAATTATATGTTTTGTGATATTATATATTTAAAAAGAAAAAAGAAAAAATAAAGAAAATACAAAAATATGAAAAATGACAGGTTTCAATTAAACTTTTAAAAAATCATGTGTGTATATAATCTCCTAATATTTAATTATTTCATTGTTTAGACAATGATTAAAATATGTTTAGGAGTACTCAGTCCAACTACAGCAATTTTCTTTAGTTATCTGTTTAAATGCATCACTGATTCAGCTTAAAATAGTCTCATTATTTTCAAGATAATGTCGTGCAACTAAATTTTTAACCTTTAAAAAGACCTTTTTAATGGGGTTTAGAAAGGGGGAGTATGCATGTAAAAATAAAAGCTTATGCAGCATGGTTGCAATAAAATTTTTAACTTGTTTTGCTTGTGAATTTTTGCATTATCGACTATAAAAATTTTTCTACTGTTTGGAGGAAGTGATTTAACAAGCTAACATAAAAATTTTGTAAAAATAAATCTAGTTGTTGAACCCAGCTGCGGTGTAACTTTGACAATGCTATTCCCATCTATAGCTGCAATAATAGTTATATTTTTTCCATGTTGCTTAGGAACTTCCTTAATAGCACGTTGTCTACGAGGTGCACGTTCTTGTGAATGTGATAAATAAAGATTAAAACCAGACTCATCAATATAAATAACATCATGATACAGATTAATTCTTTGCTGAGAATTATTTTGAACATATTCTTTTCTTTTAACAATCGTATTAGAAACATTTTGTCTTTCATTAACAAGTATTAACTTTTTTAGTGTAAACCCTACTTTGTTTTTTATATTTCGGCCTACAGTTGATCTACTCACCTATAAAAAATCAT